GGTGGGGACAACCTAGCGCTACAGGGGACAACGGTGGTGAAACCTAGTTCACCCACCAACTCTAATTCAACTACCTATATGGACCAAAGTGCGGCAAAATCTCCCGCGTCATCAATCGGTGAATGTTTCGGCTTTTCGGTTTCCCCCCAACGCAACAACGCTTTGAGGTTGATCCTGCTATTGACAATGTAAAACTATTACAGGTGCATATTATTCATCGTTTTTGGACAGTTTGCAACCGAGCGGCAAACGTCCACGATTGACCTACAAAAGTCCTTTTCTGTCACGTTAACACACCAGCTCACACCTCAGTAGGTGTGGCTGCACAACTGATAAAAGTACGGTTCAAACTCGTTCCAAATCCCCCCATTCTCCAGATTTGACTCCCTTAGACTATTACTTGTCCCTCAATATGACGCAATGGCTGGCTGCAAAAATATTTTACTCCAACGAGGAAGTGATTGCAGAAACGAATGCCTATTTTATAGGCTTGGACAAATCCTATTATTCGGAAAGGATCAACAAACTAGAGCATAGTTGGACGAAGTGCATTAGTCTAGAGTGAGATTATGTTGAAAAATAACAAAGATCTATTCTAAAAAATGAAACATTTTCATTTTTGCACCGACTTTATATCAACGACGAATCTATTAAAATATTTCAGATGCCAGTTCAGCAGAATCATCCATATTAGATAGCGCTAGTCAAAGCGAAAACAAGCTATTTACTAGTTCCTTGTTAGATGCCAGCCCAGAATCAACGAAAGATCCATTGGAGGGTGAAAAGAACTTAGCTTCAAAGTATGTAACAAAGAGTTCATCCTTGATTCACGCTACTTATAATTTTCTTCATTCGCAGGCTGTCAGAATTGAGGAATGTCGGTTACAAAAAGGACAAAACGTTCGTAGATGAACAGGATGCCAGGAGAATGCAGCAACTAGCTATTATGCAAGAGCATATAAATGAAGTGTCGAAGCTTCCACCAGAAGCAGCTGCCAAATTAGTTGATGCCAGTTACACACTTTGTAAGTAAATGGCAAATTAATTAATTTCAGTAATATTGACTAGATTTGATTTACATTTTTAGCTCGTGATGTGCAAAGTCCTTCCAAAGTCCTCTTAAATTGGCTTTGGGGAAAAAACCCTCCAAAAGCAAATGAATCATAGCATCCATTTCAATTACAGTATACTATATGAAATTAATTTCCAAAACACCGGGAAATAAATTTGTATTACTGGTGAAATGAGTTTCGCATAAACCACATTTGAACTGTTCGCAAAGGGCCAAGGTAAAATGTTGCTATTTTCATAAATATTGTTGATAGGATGTTTGGTTACTAGAACTTTTTATGTTTGTTAAGTGCAACACAAAAGGATCACTTCAAGCTCTATGAAAATTGGCCCTTAAATGTACAGTAGTGTGATATGGTAGTTCCGTTTTTATATTCTACATGTAGGTCAAAAGTTTACCACCATTAAATGTTTTATGTATTATTTGGTTAAAATGTATGTTGTTTTAATTGGTCTTATATAATAATTGAATTCCCTACAAAGAAAAATAAATAATTTTAACGAGTCTTATTGAAAATTGTATGAAAGGATACTGGTTCCATTGTCATTGATAATAGGCCTGGGTAACACAGTGGATTTTCAGGTGTTTAAACAGCGATACCGATGCGGCTTGCTGGGTCGATACAGGGCGCTACACTTTTTGTCAATATCTTCCTTTGGTTTTACTGAAGAGAGATAATGACTTTAATGGATGGAACAAATGAAGTCTTCGCGTATTTTCTGGTAAATTCTTCTTCTCTTTCTGGTCTATTTGCCTGACAAGTATCTGTTCTTTTGACCCATGACAAATATTGGTTTGTATCTGAAACCGGGCTGAAGCTCATCTGTTCCCTTGAAGGATATTCACGCCACATGTTCAATTTGGTTGCGAATCTGCTGCATAATTCCTTTATGATTATGTGTGCAAGGGCTGATGAATGCACCTTTATAGTATTCTAGTACAAAACCATTTAAATTATTTTTTTGGCTTTGTTCGTCGACTGATTTTTGGTATAATTTGGTAGTAATCAAGAAGCAGACATTTGCCATTTTGCTATGTTGAAATATCGAAATCCCATTTTTGTCAGGGTCTGGAAATAAGATAATACTGAAAAACAACTCTCTCGATGGCTTCGAAATTCCATCATCGCTCGCGTGTCTATAATTGCACCCGCAGACGGGCGACTTCTGTAGCGCGACAATTTTGTCGCTGAAAATGGAAATCATTATTTTAAATAGTACGAGTACGGGCGACAGTTAACAAAATCGCACTCTTACAGGGGGGTACTACCCGCAATAACTACCTGGCATCCGTTCACGTGGTAAATCACCGCGTTTATTATTAAATTTTGCGTGGTGTTGGGTCTTTTTTTTATTTGCGCATCCACTAATCGTCAAAAATGCGGAACCCCCTAATGACAAGGTCGCGATTCCCATTCCGGCAGACACTCCGGAAGTACCACACCCAAGCGAATGGAGGGGGATCTCCATCACTCTAGGTAAGGTGTGCGTAAAGTGGCCTGTGTTGTCTTATGTGTTAAAGCTAAGCAAACGCTAGGGTAAGATGGACTCATGTGAGCAGTTTAGTTTAAGTTAGGTAGGTATAAGCGTCAAGTAATCTGCCCTTGTGCCGCTGGTTTGGCTGGAGAGTGGATTCCTTGTCTTGATATATGGTGGATTCAGTCTTTATCTATGGTGTCTACATGGCTTCGGCTGGGTGGGTTGCCTAGAGGCGTAAGTCCTTTTCTTTGAGATCGTGCAGAACTGTTTGAACCAGTTGCGATGTGAAAAAAAAACGGGAAATCAATAAAATCACAAAATCTTGACTTTTGTATGTATGTATAACGGTATAGTTAAAATACTTACAAGGAATGAAAAAATAAAGATTACAAAACAAACACCTTTATAACAATAAATTTAACTTATGCATTGAACTAATTACATTTAACTAAACGAAATTTTGAATAAAGACAAAGAAATTATATAAAACATACTTATTTTGATAAATATGCGTTGGTCTCAAAACCGCAACTCTAGTACCCATTATTCAAATACATTTTCACCATATTTCATATAAAAATTCAGATATTCGAATACTTGTAATTCCGTTTACTTCATTAAAGAATGGACCACTGCTTTAACGTTTAATGCTTTTAAATCTGTGTAGGTTTGGCCGGTCCCTACAAAGACAATTGGTTGTCCTGTAATGTACGTCATTGATATAGCTGCTCCAACCTGCAATTAAAAGAATCGACATAAGCAAATAACTCATAAACAACTGCGTATCATTCAAAAAGGTCCATAAAAAGTAGTGAGGACTAAATTATATGAATAGTATGTTGTTACTTCATTCGCTCATTATCAAATGAATTATTAAAGGCGTTTAAAATGTTTAGACCATGTTGCCTTACCTTATCATCAATTGTATCGAATTTTGTTAAAACAATGCCGTCGATCAAATGCGGGTTGGTATTAGCGGAATAGTCGGCCAAGGCTTGGTTAAATTTCACTAACTGATCTACAGCCTCGTTACCCACTAAAGCCTCACCGACAAAAAGCACCAAGTCCGGCTCATTCACTTTGATTAATTTCGTCAACGCTCTCATCAATGGTTCGTTGTCCTAGAACATTAAAATTGTTACTGAATAATATTAATGTTGCCTCTTTGTAAGTGTCGCGTACCTGCATTCTTCCAGCTGTATCAATTAACACTACATCGACTTTAGTATCTCTAGCAAATTTTATGGCTTCCATGGCAATACCTGCAGCGTCCTTACCATATCCTGAGAAGAACTAGTTGAATAATGTGAACCCTTGACTAATATAAACTAACCCTTCTCATAAAGCTGTACCATTTGTTTTCCACCGTGCCTGTCTGGTGGGTGAAGAGCATTCAAATGCCTCATATGAGTACGAAGTTGCTCAACGGCTCCGGCCCTACAGTTATTTCCGAAATCGTTTTATCAGTAATTTCATTAAAAGTAAATAAAAGCCAGATAAAATATTAAAGCTTTACAAACGATAAAAAATGTTTTATTATGTATTTTCAAATTGGTAATATTTATTTTTTTAAGATGAAAACATTTATATAGTTCAACATCAACTTCTTCAATCAGTCACAATTAAATCATTTTTGGACAAATGTTTCATAGACTTGGAACAGTGATAAACTCAATACAACTGTGAACTGTTGCGAAACGTTTAATTCTGATAAAATGCTCTTCATTTAATCTTTTACGTCGTTAAAGTCTCACATAACTGATAATAAAGGTGTAAATGAAATGTAGTTAGTATTAAAAGTAGAAGTATGATTCAAAGGTTTATTGTACTTAGTTAAAGTCCCACGTTTTATTTGTTCAAATAATATTTTTAAAGAATTCGGCATTTTTACCTAAAAGTATCGCAGGCTGCAATAAGTACTTGAAGATCATTCTCGATTAACCAAAAACAAATTTTAGATAGATTGGTGGATTTTCCAACACCATTGACCTGAAACATTAAAATGTGACTGAATGACTTTTAATTAAATTTATTTTTATTTGATTTAATTTATTAAATTATAATCTTACCAAATATCAACCGTTAATAATTGTTGATCACATTCATATTTTACGGTTGATTCTTTGCAATAGTAAGAAACACAATGGAATTGACTGATAACGTGTAACCAAATCGGTTTTAGATGGAGTTCTAACATTTAAAAAATATCATGTTAAAGCTTCTCAAATGCGTCCCATAATAATATGTTAATATAATAAATTAAATTCTTACTAAAAAAGGAGCCCCGAAGTATATAATAACGTGATTTATTTTTAAACTGATTTGTCGTTACTTTGGAAATTGTCATTTTATTTAGATTGAGACACTCGAAGTCTTATTACTCTCTTAATTGATGTTTTAAACAGACTATTATTAGACAAGGTTCACAATATTTTAAATTTCAGTGTCGGGTTAATGTAACGACTTTTTTGTGTTTGATAACAGTTTTTAGAAGACTTACCCCACAAAACGACATTACGAAGGGTCTTCTATTCTTTTTAGCTTCTAAACAGTCTCTTAAAATATCAACTCTCCTATTTGGACTTAAAATCTGCACCAATGAGTCAGTAAGCGTATTCTTAACAATGGTTGCCACAGAATCAAAGGTCCCTGAAATGAAATAAAATAATATTTCAGTTGGTTATTCAAATTAATTCAGTTAATTGTTTGAATCTGAAGAGGAAATAACTGTTTTGTAATGTTAAAGTGCTACCTAAAACTTTTCCTTCCAGTTTGGCTGCAACGGAATCACACAGTTTAATGGCAATATCAGAAGCTACATTTTTCGCAATAAGATGATCCTTCATTTTCTCTAGAGCGGGGTTCACATCAGCCAATGTAAGATTCTTAGAACCTATCAAAAAAATAAAGTTGCATAGAATAACCCGCTAATTTGTTGCTATTATTAAATCATAAAAACTCTTACCAACAAGTCCTTTAAAGATAGAGAACATTCCGCCTTTAGCGGGTTTTTTAGATTCTGGCTGTTCAAGAACGTATTCATTTTCGTCCTCTTCAAATTCCTCATCTGAAGATTCAACTTCTAAGTCTTTGATGCTTCCTTGCATTTGACCAACCATCTAAATATTAAAAGACCCAATTTAAACAGAGAGCAATATGTATGGATTCTAGTTATTTTCTAAGATACTTTATCATTACTAAAATATTATGTGACAAACATGTCGTAAACGCTGATGTTTCTTTTTTATAGGATAATTTTAAATACATTTTTTTAACTTTTGTTACAAAATTTCTTTAATATCTTGACCGTTGGATAAAAGTTTGCTCTAATTTAAAATTTATATTTCGTCAGCTGGAATTTTATATACCGGCTGTACCAAATTAAGTGCGTACCATTGGTAACTTTGTTATTAGTGGGGATACAGTCTTGTTTTCATGGCAAAGAGTTCTTTTTTACGCAAGATAATTAAAAAGAAAACTGATTCTTATTGGACGCAAGTTAACTCTACCCAAAAAAACTTCAGTAACATTTTTCCAAAAATGATAAGATTTTTGTAATTACCTGAGCGGATAATGGGTAAACGCTCGATATCTCGTATTAATCAGATATCAATCGATTTAAGCAATCACTTTGACATTTCTATTTATTTAAACTGTGCTGAAAAATCTGAAAATGCCCCATGAAGAAAAATGTGACATACATATTAGAATCGTACATATCTAACCAAAATAGTAGCATAGCCGTGAACAGGTAGGAATCGTGAATTCCAGTTTCCAGCCAGACATTTTCTCAACATCGGTATTTTTTTGGAAACTTTACCGACAATTTCGGCAAAAATAACAACACGAAATTAACGTTCTGACATATTTTGAAGTTGTTTTCAAAAAATCTGTTAAGTTTTTATTTATAATTTATATTTAAGAAGAGAAAGCGGCATTCCCTTATTTACAACTCGGCGAATCTTTATCGATGGTTAATAAATGTACCAAATGTCGAACGACGAATTTTGTGCAGTGATGAACAGTAACTGGTCAGCACTATAACAAGTTACTAAGAAAAAAAAGGAAAAAAACGTTTGCCAAGTTAATTTAGCAGAGAGAATGGAAATATTCTTTCAACAACGCTCCAGCTCATAATATGAGAGAAATTTTACCGGTAATACGTCGATAGTGATAGAATTATAGGCACCCACTATCCTAAACGTTTTCCGGCATGAACCCCCGATATTACTCCATTAGAGCTTTTTTGTGGGGTATTATCAAAGATGAGATGCGCCGGGAAAAGTCAAAACATGGAAGAACTAAAATTAAAAATCTAGGAAGTACTCGGCAATTTAGACAAATAGTTGACAAATTTTTAAAGCATCGAACTGTAAAACTCGCGCTTTAAAATGTATTAATAATTATTAATTATTAATGAACATAATACAGCAAATCGCTGAGCTTAAGTGGCAATGGGTTGAGCATGTTGCCAGACTAAGTGTGGGTAGATCGGTATCAAGGCTTGTGCACTGGAGATCACGGCAAACAAGGAGGAGTCGCGGCAAGCCACAGAGGAGATGGTTGAATAATGTTAAAAAAAATAGCACGAGGAAGATGGAACCATACAGCAAAAGACGAACAGCATTGAAACAAATGAAAGAGGTCTTTGCTCAGGAGTGGACAGATAATCGCTGACAAAAAAGAGAAGAAGTTCACTAGACCATTTATCAAGAAGGTCACAACGATAATTTCCATAATTTCAACCATTTGTATGATATAACAAAAAAGACACAGATCTCTTGAAATGCTCAGTCGAATGGGGCTTTTATGAACTTTGAAATATACTCACCGTTTATAAAAATAGCAACATTATGTTTGTTCATACTCACTTCAGTGTCTGGGGTGAAGTGGCTCTTAGCATCTTCAGGTCTATCTACTGTTCTTTCCAAGCTTTCCAAATCTTTGCTTGTTCCACCCAAATCCCACACTCTTGGCTTCTTGCTTGCCTTCTCCTGAGCCTTGGGACTTTTTGGACTTTTCCTGTGTGATTGGAAAAAATAGCTAGCAAAGTTCTTTCAATTTAACTGTACGTGTACTATACTTGATATCCCCTTTCTTCTTTTGAGCCATCTTTTGTGCAAATTTGGCTCTATTTGCAGCCAAAGTATCATCAATTGTGCCATTCTGAGGTTGATCCAATGCAGGCGATGCTTGAACAGCATCTGAAAAGAAACGATTCAAATTATAGATGCAATTATTCGAGTAATCAATTTATTGAGGGCCTACTTTCGCTTGCAAAATTCACTTCCTTCTTCTTGTCTTTCTTGGTGGGCTTTTCTTCGCCTTTCCTTTCAATCATCGAAGACACTGTTTTCTTCGATTTATCAGATTCGTCAAAAGTTCTCATTTGCTTAGGAAGCTTAGATTGGGACTTACCCCACGCTTCAGACCTTTGAAGCACTGATTTAAAGGTTTGGGAAAAGTCCAATCCTTGGAAATATCTTTTATCTGCGAGTTCATTTTTATATTTGTCTCTAAACTCTAGCTGTATATCATTTAGGAACTTGTCCACATAGCTAAGTTGCAAAATTTTTTGATATGCAGCGACAAACACTAAATCGAATTCGTTATCGAGTTTATATTGCAACAACAGACCGTTGTCTTCATATGTATTTGTAGGCCTTTCCTACAATATGATTTAGGTACATGTGAATGGAAGTTCCATATTTTTTAAATTTCTGAATAAACATACCTGTAAGATGACATTTTGTATTAATGCGTTTACTGAGGAGGTTAATATATGGCTGGTACTTTGGAAGCACCATAAAACAATGCCTCCTTTGCTGAATATTGTAAATAAATCCAACATTTTCAACACTTATTCAACTCTGTATTTTCCTTATTGCTCTTGGCGGAACACGTCATCACAGATCACAGAGGTTATAGATTGGAAACTACCATATACGGCTGCAGAATGCTATTTGTCGCTTATCTCAGCGGCTGCAATCAAAACTAAACTAATTTCCACTACTGGCAGAAGAAATCTTCTTTACCGATTGGGTTCACATCAAAATTTAGCGGGGTATTTGATTTCAGTTTATGACCTCTGTGATTTCCGTTGAATTTTCAATAACATTTCAAGCATTTTATCAAGCTCCTTAATTGTGATGTTTATGCTAGGGCTTCAATTAACATCACAATTAAAGGGCAATATGAGATACTCGAAATATTATTGAAACTTCAACGGAAATCACAGAGTTCGTAAAGTGAATTCAAATCGCCTGCTAAAATTGTGTTCGTGTGAAAACTAGGGCAAATCGGGAAAATAAAGCACATGAATTTATCTTTACAATAGGTATTTATTAAACTAAAAAACCTAGAGATGTAATTTATATTGAGATTACATGAGTTAGATCGTGTAGTGCTTCAACAAAACTTGAAATAAGTTTTATTCACATTAAATAATAAATATGTTGAACAAATATGCAGAAGTGTTGATATAAGTATCCAATTATTACCTGCTATTTACGTTCAGTTG